ATACGTTACACACAAAAACACATACAAAGACACACACACATACACACACACACACACATACACACACACACATACAAACTGATTTTGGCCAATATTAAAGCGGCCAGCCTCCTGCGATCCAAGATTATTATTTATGATTGCGTGGAGTGTAAATAATTTTCACACATTTTATATTACTTTGGATTATGCCAGTAGACACACACACACACACTCACGCACACACACACACACACACACACACAGTCACATAGATACGTACATACATACATTCATCCATCCATCCATCCACCCATACATACATACATACATAAATACATACAAACATACATACATACAAACAAACAAACAAACATACAAACATACATGCATACTCATACAAAGCTTTTATTGGTTTGTATGCAAAGAACAGTGCTGAAGAGCGTACATTGCTTGTTGTAGAGGCGAATGCGCGTATCCTATATATACATACATACAAATATAACATACATACATACATAAATACATACATATAAACATACAAACATACAAACACACATGTGTGTTTGTGTGTTCATCCATGAAATGTGGATTATGTTGTCAAGTTAGTTAACCATTCAATCATTCAATCAATCACTCTATATTTTTTTCAGTCATTTTTTGATTCTTTTATTTAGTTTTCCGCTCATACGTTCTTGTTTCCATTCTTTTATTTGATTCCATTCGTTCCTGCAATCAATCAATCAAACAACTAAGCAACCAATCAACCAACTAAGCAACCAATCAACCAACTAAGCAACCAATCAACCAACCAACCAACCAACCAACCTACCAACCAATCAATCAATCAATCAATTAATCAATCAACCAATCAATCAATCAATTTTTGTTTACATAAAATTTTCTCAGCAAAACACAACACGCATATACATTCAGATAACAACCCCGAGATTAAATATCAAACAATCATACTAGAAAAAATAAAAATTTATTGTTTTATATATATACACACAGACACACACTTTGACTCACACGCACACATACATACATACGCACACACTTTTTTCTTTCTCTCTCTCTGAACATTAAAACTCTTGAGCAATCGTTTGATGTTAAATTAATGATTTAGCATTTGTTATTATTAATTTTATTGTTGTTGTTGATGTTGTTGTTGCTGATGATGTTGTTGTTGATGTTGTTGTTGTTGGTGATGATGATGTTTTTGTTAATGTTGTTGTTGTTTTTGATGTTTCTTTTGTTGTCGTTATTAATACGACTCCAATTAATATAACTAAATTGTTTTGGGCTCGAAAAATCATGTTGAATGATGAACTTGAATTTTGTGGCTCTATTGTTACTGATAAAAATAATTATAATAATTTGCCTTCTGCGCTATATAAATGTTTATTATTATTATTATTATTATTATTAGTAGTAGTAGTAGTAGTAGTAGTAGTAGCAGTCGTAACAGTATTAGTAGTAGCAGCTATATTGCTATAAGTGCATCATAAATAACACTCAATAATTAATTAATTATTATTAATATAATAATCATCATTCGTATAATTATTTATGTCATAATGAGACTATAATTAGTTGGAAAAATATCATTCAATAGCTCTAGTTGAGGTCTTCCTAAATAAAAATGATACAAACGAATACAAGGAAGTATAGTATCTAAAGTATCTAAATAAAAATGATACAAGCGAATACAAGAAAGTATGGTATCTAAAGTATCTAAATAAAAATGATACAAGCGAATACAAGGAAGTATAGTGTGACAACAGTGTGAAGGTAAGTAACAATCGTATTCAAAGAATACTATCCATTCTAATCATAAGCAGTTGTATCATCAGTATCATCAGCAATAGTATCATCAGTATCATTAGCAATAGTGTCATCAGTATCATCAGCAGTAAATGTTAAAAGTAGTTAAACTAAATTCAAATGTTAAAGAGAGAGAGAGATATAGACAGTAATATTATTATACTACAACATCGTTATTAACACACATACACACACATACACACGCACATACGCACACGTACACACACAGATAGACCCACATACACACACATACACGCACACACACACATTGTATATGATGGGAAGAGAATCCTTTGCGTTTGAACACGGTCACCAATCGCCTCAACCGTTAAACCGCCACTGAAATAGACTTAATTGCACTACTACTACTATAACCATCCGTATCGTTATCAGCACCGGTATCATCATTATCATTATTCTTTTTCGTTTTATTATTGTTATTATTATTGTTAAAAATGTTCATAGCCACCATCATTATCATCATCATTAATATTATTATAATTATTACTATAATTATAATTATTATTAACGTCGCCAGAATTATTATTATTACTATAATATAGATCATTATTATTATTAATATCATTATTTTTGTTTTTATTATTATTATTATTATTGAAGTTTTTAATAGTGGCATTCGAGTGATCGAGTTCTACGTAAGTCAAATCTGGTTGCTGAAATTTAGGCGCTTTCTTTTTGGCGTTTTTGTCGACGACTGGCTTGGCGTATGTACACTTGTCATCGTCGTCGTTGTCGTTGCTGTGGTTGCTTTCAAGGCTGTCTTCGCGGCCGCTGATGTCGTGTAGCTGGTTTTGGCGCGGCAGTTGAGGCGGTTTTCTTGCGGCTGACTTGAAGCTGGCATTGAGCAATATTTTGTGA